ATGAATTCAACATCCATGCTCCTCACTGAAGTGAATTTTAATACCTTTTGCAGCCTTGACATCTCACCAGGATCCTAAACATTAGCCTTTGCACAATCAGAAACAGCTTAAAAATGTAAGGCCAAGCGCTTATGAAATCCTCTCCATTATCTGGCTGTGAGCCTAAGGCCTCTTGCAAATAACAAAACTCCAGCTTCTGCTCATTAGATCATCCGTGCACCATCCTCAATACCAATTGGCGGGGCAGCATCACCCATAACAAGTTCCTGGAATGTGGCCAGTCCCAAGGCAGCCAAGCTCAGTTGGCTGCATCCCAGCTCTGCGGGGTGTCTGAACATGTTGGCACAAAGGAGAGGAGCAGGGCGGCTGAACACTCTGAATAATGAGCTGGAGAGAAGTGACCACAGGCTAAAGAAACCCTATAGAGATTAGCCAAAAAACAACTTCAAGGCACAGCTGCTTATATGTCGGCTGTTGGAAAGTAACTGCAATAGACATATTCTTCATGCAACACCACACTAAGAAATGGCTCCTTGGGGCCTAGGTATAGGTAACCTGGTAAGGGTGGATAAAAGCCTGTGCTCATTTCCATATACCAGGTTTCATCTGGAGTGCCCATATATCTTGACAGATCACAAATATTTGCTCCCGTCCAGGTCTCATAATTTTATTCTGCAAAAGAATATTCCCCTTACTCAGGAATAACTAAGTGATAAATTATTTGGATGTCATAACACCTAAATCAGCTAGTTTATACATATCACTGAAAAAGAGGAACATTTGCTAGAAACTCATGAAGTGAACCAGAAAATTCTAATCATCTCTTCTGTATTATCTGCCTTTATGTGTACTTCCAACGTGAATTACCAAACTAGTCATTTGTCAATACGCAACTTAAATTATTAATAAGTGCATGTGTTAGGCAATATTTCACACAAAATTCCAACCACTGCTGATTAAATTATTGTTAGTTATGCAAGAACTTTGAAGAGCATAATGATTTTAATGTCATTAAAAGGGAAGTTTTTAGGCAGAAGTTGGATGACCTTCTGTCAGGTAAAGATTCCTGCACTGGATGAGAACAGGGTTGATGGGAAATGGACCTGATGACCTTCCCAGGCTCTTCCATTAACGGTTACATGTAGAGCACAGCCACTGAAATGTAGGTGTAGAATTTTCAAGAAACACAATATGAATACATAAATAGCCCAGAAATGAATATACCATATTTAATTTTTAATTTATCTCAGGCAAATAATTTACTGAGTCTCATATTGCAAAATGTCTTTTGCATACATAACACAGCTGATAGTCTCCAGAAGTTGACATTTTAAAATATCAGGACATACAAATTATATTATGCTAAATATGCAATAAATCCACCACTACCCATATGAACAATGACATAGCAGTTATGTGTATAAAGTAAAATAGATGGTGAGATTTCGTGAAGCTCATTTAATGACAATTAGTGCTACCCTAAGCACTTCACATCTATTGTCTATTTTACTCCACACAACAACCTTATTGTGGAAGTTCTGCAGTAAAGGGGGATTGAGCAACTTGCTCAAGGTCACTCAGCTAATAAATAGCAGGGCAAAGACCTGAACCTGCCCTGAAGGCTATGTGATCTGCCCCCTTACCTAACACTAACACTAAGCACCAGGTTTAGTGTTTCTTGTTTCCTTACGTGTAGGTAACACTGAAACTTCTACTGCTGGAGTTTATACTGGTGTATGTGGGTGGAGGTTGTCTGAAGCCAGCCTGGCAGACTAAAGAAAACTAATTTGATTTTAAAATGTGAATTGAACAAAGTTGGCAGCTCTCTGCAAACAGAGGTATATGCATGCTGCTACCATTGTAAATGGGTTCAATATTTCTGAAAGCTATTTGATAACTTGGAATGAGAGCTCTAAAACGTTTCTTGTCCTTTGACTCAGTAATTTCAGTCTTTTGGAATATACCCCAAGGAAATAACACAAAAGAAAAAGGTAATTTGTTCAAGATGTTCATTCAGGGCTATTTGTATTAATGAAAAACTGGAAACAACCCAAATTTCCAATAATAGGACAGTGACTAAGCAAACCAGGCTATGTAGAAAAAGAAGAAAACTTTATAATCCCTAAAAATGGCAATGTAGACTACATCATATGTGCACATATATGTAAGAAATAACTTTACATTCAAAAGTAGAATACAAATTAGTAGATGCATAATCTACAACCAAGTAAAACAGTATGTGCACTAACAATCACACAAGAGAATTGTGAATTTATAAAAAAAGTATATCCCTCATTTCATTGTTGAAACTCCAACAGTGGAACTGTTGTGCTTAATAAAAACTTATGAACTTAAATAATACAGAGGTAATATCTTTAACTGAGTCTTGACTGTATCTCACATGTAATAATGTGCTGTCAATAAAAGATAAGCTTTTATGAGGACTTACTATGCGTTAGGCACTCTTCTAAATCCTTTCCCTGTATTCTCTCATTGAATCCCCGTAGAGCCTTATGAGATAAGTATTATTATTATCATGTCTCTTCTAAGAGGAGGAAATTGGAGCAGAGAGAAGCTAAGTAACTTGTGCAAGGTGACACATGCTATAGCAGAGATGGAATTTCAACTCACGTAGACTCCTATATGGCCAGTATGCAGCTATTATGCCACAATGTCTTCTCTTATTTGGAAGAAGTATCTAGATCTTGCTCTTTCTGTTATCATTTCTAGATCTTTTGTGCTTTTCTTCTTCACAATTCCTGTTTGGTTTACAATATATAAAATCCTTGCAGGAAAGAACAATAACCAAATACAAATGTGGAGATAAAATACTCTCCATCCAGTGTCATCTGCACGAACACAATCAACTGCCCTCACCAGTACGTCTTCTTCTAAGAAGTAAGATCAGAGTAGGGTTTTTAAATCAGGAAAGGGAATTGTAAAGGTTAGGAAATAAAATGTTACTTTGAGAACACAGGATAACTGCAAAGGAGAAAAATATAATATTTGGAGCAAAGAAATACTCAAATGAAATTGAATCTAAGAAATAAGTTGCCTAGGGATAAATAACAAAAATAGAACATTTACAACCCTTTGGGAAATGTTAGTTTTAAAACAAAAATTTATGCTTTATAATTGTTTAGTTGCTCATATTTTGTAAAGTACTTTTATTTATGATCTTATTTAATTCTCTTTCTGTAGAATGGTGGGTAGTGTAGTTAACAGATGAAGAAACTGAGAGTCAGAAATTAAATGGCTCACCCAAAGCAGGCTGCTTGTCCCTAACCAAGTAGGAACTCAGTCCCGGGCTTTGTTCTCAGCAAAGTTAAACATTGATGTTGTTCAAGAGAGTTACAAAGCCCTGTGCAAACCACCCCTTTAAATCATTCAGACCTCATGAAGCCCTAGCTCATAAGTATAAATCCCCTGAGAAAAGTCCAGAAAATAAATCTAACATAAATGGAATCAGCGATTAGAATTAAATATATAATGGGATCATATTAAATGAAGGAGGCAGAGCAAAGGTAGGAGGACTATCTGTTTATAAACTAAATGTTTGAGAGATGTCATGGGCATGTAGTTGGAAGGACACAAAACTCAAATTCTTCTATCTAAATCTTTATAAGAGGCACATTATTATAGGACTCTGTCATCTTTGGTACAAAATGCACAAAATAAAATTTTGCTTTATCTCTACATTCCATGGAAACATTTGCATAGTAAATGAGGAGGGCTCGTATTTTATACATTACTAAACTCCTCGCCTTCTCACCTGACCCAGTCTTATGAAGACCTACGCTTTCTCCATAGATCAGATCAAATAACGTCTCTTCCGAGAAGCCTCTTCAAGTTCTTCAGCTGAGATTAACCCTCCCTTTCCTAGGCACCCATCATGTCCTAGAACTTCTTGTTGCTGATCTTGCCTTCTGCCTTGTGCAGTTCCAGGACAGGATAACATGTTTGGGTTTATATTTGTGCTTCCAATGACCCCAACATACATGCCTTACACGTTGTCATTGTTTATTGAATTGGTAAGAAAGTGGCTGAGGTCCTGTCATACTCTAAGTGCTTATAAAGCTTTTCTGGGATTTGAGCTATTCGAATTTAACTATAGAAATTACCTCAATAAGAGACTCTCTTCACTTAAAAATCTTGTTTCCTTATAATCAAATTTATATTGACCTTCTGTACCAGACACTTGCATTAATTTAATGCATTAGATTAGTAATTAGCACTGGCAAATAGCAAACTCACATCCAGAAGGGTAATATAAAGTGTTTTTTTTAATCAAATAGGATTATGGCAGTCATCAAATTTAAACAAACTAACTTGAAATTTGCTTTTACCACAAATCTTATAACTATTCCACCAGATTCTATTAACTCTAAAGGTAAAAGCTTCAAAGCCGTACTTTCAGCTTTTTGAAGAGTTTCTCTTTTAATAGGAGCTGATGAATAAACTACTGGTGAAAGAACTTAAAATTTCAGAGCAAAAAGTATATCACTTCTACCAAGGTCAACTGCTTTTTATTAGCAATTTAGAATAACAATTAAATAACATTCATTTTATTGAGATTTTTATGTAAGAACTGAGAAAACAATTATTTGTAGTAGTTAGGAAAATACAAGAGAAGGTGCTGATTTTCTGAAACACAGTAATCTTCCTATCTCTCTATTTCCCTTGGGCCAAGTATGGTGGTGGTGTGATCGTCAATTAAAAAGCTTACTTATAAGGAAGATAAAGACCTGGGAAGAATAAGAATACTATTGAGGCTTGTAATGAAAAGCAATCTAAGAAAAAGATAAAATAACTATTTCAATTATACCACATTCTATGAACTATCAAAAACTCCCATCACATTTTGTATGACATGAGAAAAAAGCTCTTTGATTCATGAATGGCCTAATCCAACAGCTATTCACATAATTTCTGTCTTTTTAAAGAAGAGCAATCAATGATCAAGAAGGACAGTGTAAGTCACAAAAGGCATGAAATCTTACTTTTTCGTCATCTTCAGTAAATGGAGCACCCTCAGGAATCTTATTTATCGCTTGTGCCACACCGATAATCTCACCATCGCTGCTTCGGATAGGCATGCACAACAGCGATTTTGTCTTGTAACCAGTTAGCTTGTCAATTTCATCATTGAATCTTCGATCCTAAAAATAAGACAGAGGGCATTTACTTCATGTTCATTGTCAGGGAGAAGGAGAGAGAAGTGTACTTCTGTGTTTGATACTTTATCACTGGGAACTTTATCCCATGGATTTTTAATGAAAATAACAGATTTGATTTCATGTTGTCTTCGCCAAAGGAATACAAATGCAAATAAATCACAACCACAATTGTTGGCCATGGTAAATAAAAAGAGAAACTTTAAACCTGATTACAACAATATATCAAAATTGGGGAAAGGGCAACTGTTTTCAATGGAACTCCACACTGTGCTATTTATTGAAATATATTGTTTTATATAAACAACTGGCTATGAAGTATCATATAAAATACATAATAATATATTATTAAGCTCTATGAAAAAATATGGAAAAGCACTTCTTTACTTCTGATCAAATGCACTTATAAAAAAAAGAACCTACGAGCCCATGGTAATACTTTTAAAATGCTCAAAAAAATGTATAGCGGGAAGGGAAGATATAAAAGGCTTCTTTATAGAACGTCAGCTACAAAACGTAGAAAGAATGATAAAATTATGTAATTTCTATTTTGTAACTACCAATATAATAATAGATACAAGCAAGGATCATTAATAGACGCTAATACCACCGGGCTGGTGAAAAGTTATTGTTAAACAGGACATTAACAGTCTCAAAGTGACACCCCCAAAGATTCCTTATTAAATTCAAAGAGAAAAGATGTCTTTATTATAAAGAGTTTTGGTGGACATCACCTTAAACAAGTAATCAAACTTACATCATCATTAATGAGACAAATAAGATCATGTATCTCCTGACATGCTGTAATGAGGACACATCACCAAGAAAATTAAGAAAAATACAGATTATTGGTCATTCTATCAGAAGCCTGACCCAGACTCTTCAAAAATGTCAATACCATGAAAAACAAACCAAAAAATTTAATAAAAATAAAATGAAGCCATGGGAGCTGTGCTGGTTTAAAGAAGACTTAAGAGACTTAAATTCTAAATAAAATGTGATCCTCCATTGGAAATTGTTATGAAATTTTGGGGGGGACAATTAGAGAAAGTTGAACATGGACAGTATGTTAGGTAATATCAATGTATCAACATAAACTTTCCTGACTATGATAATGGTATTACAATTATGTAAAAGAATGTTCTTATTCTTAGGACATACATGCTAGAGTATTTTGAGATGAAATGTCATATCTTCAACTTACTTTCAAATTATAAGGGAAGGAAGGAAGGAAGGAAGGAAGGAAGGAAGGAAGGAAGGAAGGAAGGAAGGAAGGAAGGAAGGAAGGAAGGGTTAGGCTGAGGAAAGACTGGCTCCTGAAAGGGTAACAAGGTCTAAAAATATTCCAAGGAAGGTGATAAAATGGATTCAGGTTCACTGTTTCAAGCCAGGGGCTAAAGTGAGGCTTCTCCCAATGTTCTAGACACCCCCTTGTTAAAAGAGACTTAAAAAACAAAAACAAAGCACTACTGTCTACCACCATCTAGAGCTATCAGTTTTATCTGACTTAGGGCCTAGAGAGGCTATGGACAAGACTCAAGACGAAACGCTGCTGTCCTTCTGACAAAGTTTGTGGTATCCCCAATTTCACAAGGCCAGGAGCCCTTAAAGTCTATAATAAAGCCTGCTTGTCTGGAGATCTACAGAGGCCACCTATACCCTTAGTCAAGGAAGAGAGAGCCCTGACGGAACGAGGGAAATCAAAACCCAAACAAAACCAAATCTCCTGCTCAAAATGAGCCTACAACCAAATTTTCAGAAAAACACTAATTTGTATTAGTTTTTTTAAAAATTCACTGAGGAACCATTATATGTCAGGCTATATAGGCTAGGATACAGCAGAAAGCAAAAGAGGATTCATTCCTGTCATCATGGAACTTGAAATCTAGCAGGTGAGGCAGACGACATATAAATGTATAATCATACATTGTGGTCATATTGAGGAAAAGAACAGGTGTCATGAGAGAGACTTAATGGGAGGGACCTATTTTTATGGGAATCAAGGAAAGTCTCTCTGAAAACAGGACAAATAATCTGTGACTTGAATCATGAGTAAGAACTGGCCAGTCAAAGACTGGTAGAAAGAACTTTCCAGGAAGCTGGAATAATGCACATGAAGGTCCTGAAGCAGGAAAAAACTCAGTAAGCTCCAAAACCTCAAAGGTCAGTGTGGCAAGGACATAGGTAGTTAAAGGGAGAACAGGAGGGGGAGGCATGGGCCGGACGGTGCCATGTCTTATAGGCCCGGAAAAGGGTTATATTAACCCTAAATGCAATGAAAAAAGTCATTGAAGATCTTGAAGCTAGCTGCATGATTCATTACCTAGCTCTTCGCATTCTCTGGTCACCTTATTAGTTAACTTGTTCTCTCTCAACTAGTATATAAGATTGAAGACAGCAGAGGTTTTGTTTCTCTTGTTTACTGCTTCATACAGGCATATACTGTAGATGCTCTGTACTATTTCTTTGAGTAATAGGTTTTTTTCTTTAAGATTGTACTGCAATTATACAAAATGCAAAACAAAAGCTGAAAAGGCCCTAAGGTACCACATTTTACTCCTTAGCATATATTTAGAGACCCTATTTCAACTGTACAGAAAAGAGATACACAAATTTTACTGCAACATCAGTCAAGAAAAGAAAAAATTGAAAACCATTTGAATGTTGGTCAGTAGAAAAATAAATCATGATCTCATTTTGAGAGCATACTACACAATTTAAATGAATAAACTAAAGCTACTTGTATTAATGCAAACAAGTATCAAAAACATGTTAAATAAAACAAACAAGCTTCAATCTGATACCCTCTATATAATACTACCAATATTTAAAGACGATGTTAAGTATTATATATGGATTCAAATATGTAGCAAAAGTATAAAACATTCATGGGAATAATAAGCTCTAAATTTATATGAGTGGTTACCTCTGGGGAGGAAGAGAGAAAATGGTATCAGAGAGAGGTAGAGAGGACGCTTGAACTCTAACAACAAAGTTTTCCTTCTCTAAAAAAACCCTGTGAAGCAAATATAGTACAATGTTAAGATTTTATAAACTCTGATGGCCTGTTCTTATCTAAATGTTTGAAATATTTAACAATAAAAATTTTAAGACCATTTTTTTTTAAATTGATAACTTCACAAAGGATGATACAGGATTGGAATAGGGAAATCCAGTTAGGATATTTCAGTGATCCAAGTAAAACGAGAGGATGGTCTGGGTAATGGAGATAAGTAGACAAATATGTTGGAAGTTGGGTCTACAGTACTTCCTGATGGATGATTGATTGGGAATAAGGGACTAGAGAAAGAAGAATGAATCTCAGGTTTTAATTGGAGATACTGCATAGATAGAAGTGCCATTTACTGGAATGGGGAGATTGAGATGAAGGTGAAAGTCTACGTAAAAAATAAAGTCAAGAAGGTTGATAAATCAGTTTATTAGACAAGGTAAGGTGCATCCTGTGACTGAAATCAATGGTATGCCACCCTGGCTGCAAGTGAGAATTAACTAAGAAGATCTTGAAAATACCAGTGCTTGGGCTCCACTCCGCCCCAGATTGAATCAATTAATATTAGGCATTGGTATTTTTTAAATGCTCATAGGTGATTCTCATATGTGAACAATTTTTGTAAAGAGTTTAGTCACTAGTGAGATCAATAAAATTTATTGATAGGTTAAGACTTACATTGGGAAGAAACAAGGAGAGTGGCACAAACTCTGGTGGTTGCATATCAGTGGTGTGAACCGCGTGGGATGGACCTGAAAATCCACTCTGGAGTTCGCATGGCCTGTCTGCTCTTACCTTGTGATGGTCTGCACCTCTAGAGAAGGGTCTCATCCACCAAAGACCAATTCTGAGTAGAACCACCACCAAGTCTGTGGGGTATTCTTTACCAAAATATCCAAAGCCACATGAGAACTGAACAATTCAGCATGACCAGAGGGCACAAAAATGTTATAAACCCAAACCACCATCTCTCCAGCTCTCTACAGTCACCCGATAAACTTAGAACTCGGGGAGAAAAAATATTTTTGTTGATATATGTGATAAGTGTTAATATTCCAGTTTAAAAACTGAGAAGAGGGCCGAGGCCTGTAGCCTGCACGTCAGCTCAGCGCCCAACGCGCTCTGGGGTCTGAGGGCGGGTGCTGACCAGACGCTGCGCACTGGCCCCAATCTGCTCTCGGTATGTAAATTCACAGAGAAACATAAATGGATAACAACAGAAAATGGTATTGGAACAGTGAGAATCAGCAATTTTGCACAGGAAGCTTTGGGAGATGTTGTTTACTACAGTTTGCCTGAAGTTGGGACAAAATTGAACAATTTCGAAAATGTGAAAGCTGCTGGTGAACTCTATGCTCCTCTATCAGGAGAAGAAACTGAAATTAATGAAATCCTTGTAGAAAACCCAGGACTGTCAATGAAGCTTGTTATGAAGATGGTTGGCTGATCAAGATGACACTGAGTAACCCTTCAGAACTAGATGAACTGATGCGTGAAGAAGCATATGAGAAATACATAAAATCTATTGAAGAATGAAAATGGAACCTCCTTAAATAAAGTAGTATGAAATAACTTAATCTAGCATAGTTGTCTTAAATTAGTGGTGGATAGAAGATTTAAAATAGCCACAATAGCAATACCAATAGAAAAAGAAACTACAACAATGCTACTGGAAGAAAATATCCCTTAACTTTCTAATGATTACAGATAAACACAACAAGCAACACAAAAGAAGCTAGGCTACAGTTATAATATTCAGAATTCCTGAAATTATTTGTGGCAAAATCTAGTTATAAAAATTATGTAAGTCAAGGATAACCTTGTTATCTTAAGTCTCATATAATACTGTAACTTGCTTACATCCATTTCTGGATTTGGGTCAAAATACTTAATGACCTTTCCATTTGGAAATAACTGGCAGTGGAAAAAAGTTGTTGTTTGTTGTTATAGGATCAGATGATGAACAATACTGTCTTCGTTTTGTATTATACTGCATTTGCCGGTGCTATTTTTATACAATGAATCAACAGCCTTGCAGGAAAACAAAGTTTAATAATAAAACACTCAACTTCAAAAAACAAAACAAAACTGAGATTTATTTCATTAAGTCTTAGTGGTTTTTTTTTTTTAATGCATCTTAAAAAATGCTTTGTCTATGTCCTTATTCCACTACTTATGGGATAATTCTCACAAATTAACTCAAAACTTGATATAATCTATCTAAAGTGAGGTCTGAAGAGCTGATATAACTGTATACTTTCCTAATGTGTATTAATCTCTAGGTTAATTTTCCAATTTTAAAAAATGAAAAAAGCTGAGCCCAAAATGGAGGTATAAATTAATTGTAGGAGATGAAGAAAAATAGGGAAATAATTAGATGAAGATACATATTAATCTGACGTTATAGAGGGAATGAAAGTTTTAAAACAAAAGATAGCAAAAAATAGATTTCACTAGCCAAGATTTCACCACAAATGGGGTTAATAGTAGGGAAACTCAAGGCATTGTGGAACACACAGCTGAGGGGCCACATCTAGTCTAAGGTCAGAAAAAGACTTCCGAAAGTGAAATGTTTAAACCGACATCCAAAGAATAGGTGTCCCGAGAAGAGGGAAGAATATTCAAAACTGGCAATAGAAAGCTGGTGAATTTGAGGAACTGAAAGAAGATAAAGATGATTCTCAAGGGAAGAGTCAGAGATGTGACAGGAACAATCAGCTGAAGGCCGAAGAAGGGATGCCTAATGACCAGGTTGAGAATTGTAAATTTATCGTAGAGGAAGAGGAGTCACTGGAGGGTTTTAAGAAGGTGAGTGGGAGTGATATGACCAATTCCTCATTTTAGAAAAACCACTCTGACTTTGGAAGCAAAAGATCCAAGTGAGAGAAAAACCATCTCTGAACTAAAGTAGTGGTTAATGGTGGTCAGGGTGGTGGAAAATGGGCTGAGATAAAAGATATTTAGGAGGCAGAATCAATAGGACTTGCTGATTAATTTGATGAAAGGTTTTTTTAATGTTAGAGAAATAAAAAATGACCCATATATCTGGTGAAGGTACCTGGGTGAGTGGTGGAGTGATCACTGAGTGAGGAACACAGGGAGGAACAGATTCTGACTGGAGAATATAAGCTCCATTGTGGACTTTTGGAGGTTTAGTTAACTATGGGCCATCCACATGGTAGTACTGCTGCTAAAGTGGTTTGAGATATATGAATAAATTAATGTTATATAAATATATATTTTTTTAATTTCAGGAAAGGAACTTGGAATGGAAATTAGAGACTGTTTAGGTAAGGATGAGGGACTCTGCTCAATAACCTTTAATCTGAGGTGTTCAGGAGTTTACCACACTCACCAGCAAAGCTTCATAGAAGGCCAGGTAAGGAGGAAAGAGGACCAGGAAGAAGGTACAAACACTGAGCCTATTTATTGCTGAAAATGAAAACTTGAATAGAAAACTAACAAATGCCTCTAGGTTTACAATGAAATAGCACATGGAGAATGGTGTCCAATTTTTATTTGTCCCCCTTAGGACAAAAGAACAAAAAATGATCTACAACAGAAGAGATTTCTAATAAATTAAAGTAAAGGCTTCTTTAATAAGGTGATTAAAATCTGGAATGAGTGTCTTATGATTGTGGTAGACTCCTCTTGCTTCAAGCATTTTTATGTCATAATATTTTCCTATCTCAGATATTTTAAGTGTAGCTGCTCTTGAAAAGTGCAGCGATCTTCTCAGTACCTTTTGTGCAGACGTGTTTTTTCCATGTGACACTCAGCTATGATGTTTAATATTTAAAAAGACAAAGTCATAAGGCCAAAAGCAAGTTTTGCTCTTTAGCAATGGAACTGTGCCTGCTACATAGAGAACAGTAATTGCATGCATTTCTAACCCAGGAACTTGCACTTGCAGCCTATTCTGCAAGTTCCTGAGATGAATGTGATGCCACAGAGCACACCCAGAAAAATGGGTCCCACCCACAACGTCCATTAAGGCTGTAGAAAGAACAAACTGTAGGAAGAACTGCAGTCTGAGCTTTTGGATCCTTGAGAAAAGAGCTATGTTCACTGCACTCAACAATCCCAGGCAGCACCCAAGAGACATATTTTAGAGGCACATAAGAAGACTCAGAGTGAAAGGAAATCCATCCTTTCTTCTTTTCACTTTCTCAGAGAAGTCACTCAAGGCTCCCCAAGACAGGAGCCAGAGCCACAATCTAATCCAGGTCTCATACTCAGCAAGGATGGGTCACATAAGATCTCTTTTATCTCCTCTGTGTTCAAGGCTTCTCTCCCCAACATTTTATAGTAAAGATTTTCCAGTGCTTATGATTAAGCCAAGAATTAGTCTTGAGCATCATTTAACCTATGACTGATTGTTTTAACCACAGTCTCAACTTTACTTGGGTCCTTCATAACTGAGATGATTAAACTTTTCAGGTCTGAGAACGTCCACCGGATGGTAATTACGTTTTTAGAACATAAGGATGAGGAAACATCTAAATGCAGAAAGCCCCTATTAATGCACAAAATGTTTAATAAATTTTTTAAAATGTATTTATTTAAATTAGTTTCAAGTATACAGTACATTGGTTAGACATCTATATAGTTCATAACGATCCCCCCAATTGCTCCCTCCCTCCCTTGGCCCTCCACCTAGCCATCATATTAATGCTAACTGCATTCCCTATGCTGTGCTCCCCATCCCCGTGACCAACTATCAACTACTAATTTGTACTTCTTTACCCCTTCACTCCATTCTCCCAATCCCCCACTCTCCTCCCCTCTGTCCGTCCCCAAATTGTCCACTATAGTTGTGAGTCTGTTTTTGACTAGTTTGTTCTTTTTGTTCCTTAGATTCTGCATATAAGTTAAATCAGATGATAATTATCTTTCTTTGTCTGACTTATTTCACTCTGCATAATAACCTCTAGGTCCATCCATGTCATTGCAATATTTGAGTCATTGTGTCTATAAGTTATAGAGGAAAGATGATACAAAATACCTGTATATAGATTGTATTTCTTCCATCTACAGTCACTGCTAGGTATTCATAGGAATAGAACAGTGGTTGGCAACCCTTCCTAACACTGGATCACTGACAAGCTTTAGGTAACTACTGATACCTTAGCTCCACCCTGATGGATTAAATCATAATCGGTAGAAGGAGAGGCTGTGCAGGAAAATCCAGGGCCTATAGGGGTTCGAAAGGAACAGATTGTAAACCACTGCTTTAGAGCTTTATGACAAGTTTGTTAGCTTTTGTTTTGTTTTGTTTTGTTTTCCATCCACTTACCCCAAAGGCCTAATGTACTGGGCCTGTATACCTTCACTAGCACCCTACAAGCCCACCCCTGCAAAGGAAGATTTGGAGACCAAGTTCAGTCCACATTTCCTCTACATCCTCTTCCAAATGGCTTATGGAGTTGCAATGTTGAGAAGCTAATGGAAATATAAAATATAAAGTTAATATGCCACTGAAACTTTAACTGATAGATTGCCAAACCGTCTGAAGCTTAAAAGAAAATTGTTTTTATTGGTACATCAATTAATAACATTCGTTTAGTTCCAATTCATGAAAGCATCTTCTTATATTTATGATTTATCACAAACATCCCCTATTTTCCAGAAAATGCTTGGAAGGTTAGGCTCCTAAATTTTTGGATTAGTCTTTAATGATTTCAAATGTACTAGTCTGATTTTCTCCATACAAAGAAGGATAACTAATTGTTCTGAATTGATGGAAGGCTTGAGATTATATTACATAAAAACAAAGACATAGCATATGGCTAATGCTTTGGGCCTCCTACTTTAATACTTGCTGAGAAAAAAATGCAAAATTATCATTGTTGTTCTTAATATGTAGTCACAGAATGTCATTGCTCTACATTAAACAAAAATCTTGTCTCTCTAAATTCTTTCACGAAATATTTGCAGAGCTTTGAATAGCACAAAATATTCCTCAATAAAAGGTATGCTTTTGAAACTTCACTCTTTTACAGGCCTGAGGTAGTGTGGCAGGCAGTGGAGCAGTTTGTTAATACGTACAGGTTAGTTCTATTTGGTAACTGTTCAATGGGCACACATACATTTAAGTTTTCCAAACCTAATTAGTGGTTAACAGACACCATAAAAGAATTTAATAAGAAGTTTCAAAACAGCCATTGTTATTACCAAGTTGCTTGGGCGATGATCTATCCTTTAGTTTTGTTGCTAAAGTAAACTTGGCTTGCTGATCTTATTTCTTTATTCTTCCTTTCTTAGTTGGCATTTTTCTTTGGTCCTGTCTTATTATTGGCAACATGACTATAATTTTTTATCTTTCTTATGATAAATACAAATACATTACAAAGGAAAAAGACACAGAAAGATGGACGAACAGCAGCAGGAGTTGAAACCAAAGTTGCAGGTGAGGACAAAAGAAAATGATGAATTCTTAAACTTCTTTAATAGATAGCACAGATATCTATGACAGCTATATTGTAAGTGGAGTTAAAATGCAACTCAGCTCCATGCTCTATAAGCTTTATTGTGTG